GTCTTTGCAGAGATGGGCATCCTGCCACTTCCCTTGGACCTCCTCACATGATGCTGTTTCTGGCAAATTAAGAGCAGCTCTAACAGCCTGGAAGTAAAATATAGGGGATTTTAGGTGTTAAGTAGGCATGATTGAACAGGGCAGTATTTCTAAAATTTTGCATTATGGAAGGAAAAACRAATCTGCAAARCAGACTTACTTCAATACCACTCTGCCTTGACCTTTCAATGATTTTTTTTCTTTTGTGGTCTGCTTCGGGTTTAACCAAAATATCTTCAATCCCTATTAAAGAGGAGAGACAGAACACAATGGTCTAAACTGAACAAGAATCAAGGAAGGAACCACATTTGGTGTCAGGGGTTTTGAGAGTGAAGAGTTGGAAAACAAGGTCATAATTAAAGTTACAATAATGGTTAGACTCAGGGCCTGCAGTTTGACAAGATGAAAAGAATCCGAGTAGCTTTTGGATGGAGAAGTTGTAGGCCATAAAAACATATATCAACTAAGCAGTAAAGGTGCAAAATCAATTCCCTGATTTAAGAAGTCTTAACTTCAACAGACTCTAAAAAATCTTAATTGATGCACTTGCACAAACTAATGCTTTGTGGATCAGTCACATCAAACTGCTTTTTTTCTTCCATCCACATCAAAAGTCCTCTTAGATGAACTTTGCACATCTGGCATTTCCCAGCTTTTTTAAGAAAGATAAGTAAAAAAATACAGATCCTTGTGATGACCAGGAGAACATCAGAACAGATTAAAGACTGGAACCCTAACTCCTGTGAGCTATTTGTAAGGAGTTCTGCCAAAGTCACTAAAATGGCTGTGCCGAAACACCAAACCCCAGACTCCTGCTCCAGTCCCATTTCTCGTTTTCTGATGTTTTAGCTACCTAGCAATCCCAGGGTTATTATCTTTTCCTAACTAGTCTTTGCATCCTGACTCTCTACATATTATATTCTGTGTCTTGCAGTCAACCAATCCCCTTCCTCACTCCAAAAGAAATCCCTCCCTTTTCCCTGGCTCACAGCAGTCTGTCAGACCCCCATTCCTGCCAACAGTTGACAGTGTCTCCATAACAYTTGSACGAGTTTGAAAAGCTGTGATSAAAGTMAAACATTTAAGAGAAGTTTTACAAYAGAACAAGATGTTCAAGASTYGATTTACAATTCCYTAAARTTYTTCCACCCTGCTTTGTYAGYTGTTCTRCTTTCTATGCAACAGTTATTTTTCAGGGAAGCAAAATACAAAGTTCTGATCTAAACAAAATTTCAACACAAGACATTTTGACCGTGCACACTTTGCCTAGGCAGGACAGAAGAGAGAACTTGTTTGGCACACTCAAGACTGTGTTTTCTATTTACTTTTAGAAGGCCAGCTATGCACCAACAAAAAAAACAAGATGGGAAAAAAGGCTGGCAGGCAGCTATCCCACTCAAGGGCAGTCTTGCAAAATTTTACCGACACAATTAGCATCTATTATGCCCAACAATGTCTGTTTTACAGCTCAGGAGGTGCTGCACTACAGCACTGCAGTTACTCACCCATGGTAAAGCCCCTGTAGAGCTGCAGGTAAGCAGTGAAGAGGCGCCCCAGGCACGTCAGCACTTTGCCACTGGTCTCACCCCCATAGATCTCATAGCAGCAGTGCACCAGGCCATAGGCAGAGCTGCCAAAGTGAGCTTTGTCCAAGACTCCACACAGTAATTCCCCATCTCTGATAATGACCTGAGAAATAAAACACAGCTTTGAAAAAGGAAAGCAGGAATCTTGATCTTACTATGACCTCTACAGGTTTTTGTGTGTAATCTATGTGAAAATAGGTTTAATTTTAAAAAGTCATGCATTGGTGAACAGTTACATGTGGTCAATTATCTATACTTCCAGAATTTGTAATAGAAATAAAACTTCTAACACCATCTACGTCTTTCCACCTATAAAGTCCAGCAATGAAGACACATGGTCTAACAAAAACAAATGGAATCTGCCTAAGTCTGGACCCAAAGAGAATTTTTTCTGACTCCCAAGCCTATCCTTTAATCACCTGCTTCTGGCAGTAACTCTTGCAAAATATCTGCTTTTAACTTTGTCATCTGCCTGCTTCCCTTCACATTCCTCCAAGGCACACACTATTTTAATACAACACAGCCCAGCCCAACTCCCAGAGTTGTTTCATACCTGAGATTCACACATTGAATCAAGATTTAGACATCCTTTTGCAGGCCCCTTTACCCAGGCTCTCCCACCAATCTTTGCTTTCCCAGTCAAATTTAGTCGAGCGTGGCTTTCTGGAATGATGTTTATTAACAACGTAGAAACAACCTATAAAGAAGCAGCAGAGTGGCAGGAATTATTTATTTTGTATATTCCCTTCTCAACATAAAAAATCTGGCATGGATGAGAAAAGCAACACCCTGCATGTATTTTTCCCACTGACACCAAAGTTTCAAAAACTTGGAAATCTGAGAAGACAGGAATATCCTCCTGCTACTCTAGCCTTTGAAGTATCAATGAGCTGAGACACATAATTATTCAGAAATATAAAACAGCAAGGGTTTTTCCAAAATTTCGACATACTCAAAATTAAAAAGAAACAGACAGAAAGCTGTCTGTTGGGTTTTACAGCTCAAAACCACACACCTAGACCTGCATGGTGATGCTGAGATCTGGCCTTTCAAATACCCTTAGCAGCACAGGTTTTAGCATTAATATTCTGCTTACTTTGTAACCACCAGAATTCTTTAATCCAGTAAATTATAAACTACCTGCTTTCCCGTCCATAATCGCTGTGGCTTCATAATGGCAGGAGGAAAGATTTTAATTCTTCCTATTTTGTCTGTCAGTCCTCGGTACACCAGCTCCATGTATTGCTCTCTGGTGAAAAAGCAGCCCCGTATTGTCATGCTGACTCCAGAAACCATGTGATCCTGGATCAAGCCAGGAAGTGGCTTCCCATCCTAAAGAGGTAACAAGAAAAAAAGGGTAAGGGGGTTAATAAGTCATGTGCCTCCAGCTTCCAAAATTATTCCCACTGGATAAAAGCAATTAAGTAATTTGTAAAGAACTCATAATTACAGCACAACTCTCTACTGAATCTCTTCTGGACACTGACATTCAAAGGAACAAGATTATTTGGCTGTGCCAGGCCTTGTTTAGAGGAAAAGAACCACAAGTGGAGAAAGAACACAGAAATGAACCTCAAAAATCAATAAATGGATTTTTAAAAAATTATCTAATTTATCATTAGACAAAATAAACAAAGTGACTGCATGTAGGAATAAATTTATCTGTTTTACTTGCCTTTGGCACCAGGTACTGCTCATCAGTGCAGGCTAAGGTGTAGGCTTCAGCTCTGCCCAGCTCGCTCTGTGGAAAATGGGCATTCATTTCATCCCCATCAAAGTCAGCATTGTAAGCCTTGCAGTTGGCATAGTGAAGCCTCAGCACTTTCTCCCCAGGCAGGATTCTGGCCCGGTGAGCTTGGATGGAGGGTCTGTGAAGCGTGGGCTGGCGGTTCAGTAACAGCACATCTCCATTCTTGATGTGCCGACACACCTGCAAGGGAAATTCGGTTACTGCCTACAAGGCATTGCCATACCTCACAAAGGACTAATTTATCTTTAAATATACACACATCCAAAATACCTTTCTTCTGGTATTCATGTTCTGTGCAAAACTCAGAGAGAATCAAGACTGCTTGCTCCTGAACGCCCGCTGCTCTCCAGCAAACAACATATTCCCCATTAACTTCCCCAAACCACAGTGATCAGATCAATAAGCTCTTTGTACAAAGCCCACTGGGCTGAATTAATACCTGCCACAACACACCCCAGACTAAGATAGTAAAATGACCCAGCAGCTGAAGTAGAGCCCAAGAGTCTCTTAATTTCAGCTTTGAGTACAACACAATATACCCTTATCTAGAACAGTCTCTCAAAACAGTCTCACTGTAATTTTTCTGTTAGCAACATGCAAATATCCACCTAAGTTATTACAAACAGAAGTATGATAAGTTGACTGTACAATCTAAATACTGTCATGTTTAACTCTGTGAGAGGTTCTGAGACAACTGACATCACAGAAATATTCAAGACTTAAATTTTAAATCTCTGCTAAGCCTTTATGAGAGACAGGGTAATACAGAACAACGTGAAAAGACTATTAAACACCAAAACTTTTGCCCGAGCAGCTAAATAGTAAGTTTTCAACTCTTGCAAGGGATGGAGATACAATTAAGAAGTTTCAAAGGTTGATTAAGCTGTAGCATAGTGAAGAAACAACTGACACAGAATCAATAAGGTTGGAAAATACCTCTAAGATCACCGAGTCTAACTGCTAAGCCACCATTTGCCAAGGTCACCACTAAGAATACCCTTCATCTTGACACAAAGAATGCCACACACTGCGTATTAAAAGCAACTAAAATCCAGGATGGAAAATGCTGTTTAGAATTTGAAAAAGCATCATGTTTTTTTTTCCTACCCCCCAACCAGAGATGGAGGAGGGCTCTGCTAATACTCACAATCTTCAGCCCTGTCTCGGGTGCCCCTGAGGTGGGGGTGAGGAGCTGCTTGGCGATGGCCTCGCGCTGGGTCAGGCTGGTGGCGCTCAGCACCGTGCGCGACCCGTCCTCCTTAATGACCATGGAGGCACCAGGGTGGACCTTGGGGCCATTGATGACAGCCTGCCTCAGCTCTTTGACATTCCAGGGAGTGACTGGCTGAGGGTAAGTCAGTTTGGTAGCAAATACCTAGACAGGGGGGAAAAGAGGAGAGAAGTAACATGTTCAGTTTTGGCTTAAAACTCTAAATGCCACCGATAAAACAGCATCAATTTTAAATCTCTACCAAGCCTTTATGAGAGACAGGGTAATACAGAACAACGTGAAAAGACTATTAAACACCAAAACTTTTGCCCAAGCAGCTAAATAGTAAGTTTTCAACTCTTGCAAGGGATGGAGATACAGTTAAGAAGTTTCATATAATGCAAATATAATGCAAACAAATTACTTTAAGCTCTTGAATCCATCTCCTCCTCAGTCTACTCTAATGACAAATAAATATATCTTTGTTTTAAAATCCTTTACCATACGAATAACGGCCTTTTTACAATTTTCTATTGCATATAGAAGTCAATTCACAATTAAAAAAAGCAAGCACAGATTTAAATTCTGGAAACAAGCCAACAAATACAGAGAAAAAGTACATTATCACCAGGCTTGCTATTTCCTGCAAAGATGGTGTAATGAAAAGCTCAAATTCAGGCTTGGTGGCATCTCTATGTGGTTAAAAATCCTTGAAAATTGATGAAACTAGTGACATTATCACAGCCTTTCCCTAAAGGCTGCCATAGATGTTACACTGCACAAAGACCATAAGAGAAACAGGATTTACTTTTAAAGTTTGCACCARTTCATAATCCCATMAAGTAAGTACAGCTYTTCCTTTTTTTTTTWWAWTTCTCTTTCTCRRATGTGGTGYTSTTRCTTCGTAACAGTAAGAAYTCCCCATTCTCCAATGCTCCTTATTAACACTGGGTGGGAAAAAGTTCAGATGAGTCAAAAAACCTCTACATTTTTAACTGCTTGCTATGTAGTTGTTCTGTGCTTGCTGCCAAAGTGTCAGCAGTGTAGTTCAGTCCCCAGCTGCACCAGAAGGACACAGCCCTTTTATTTATCCTCACCATAGGGATGCCAATCTCGTTGGTCCCAATGTACATATCGGGGCAAATGACGGACCGAGCAGCAAAATCCACGCGCTTCCCCATCATGTGCTTGCGGAACAGTCCTTCCTTCTTCTCCAACAGCTTTCAAAACAGAACAGAACAATTAAAACCTCAAAGTATGGAAAACCAGACTGATTCTTACAATGATGAGTGTCATGAAAGTGCCCATGTATTAACCACAAATAGCTCACTTTTTTATTACTCCATCAGCTTCTCTTTTTTAATTGTCTAAGACTCCATTTGCTACCCACCTGACGAATACCAGGGTATTTTTCTGTTATCAGCTTGTCCATGTCACTGTCAAACACAATGTTGACATGGCTCTGGAGACGTATCCAAGCGTTGTACAGCTTATCTGCAATGCTCTGTCCTGGAATGGTGGTCAACACAGAACGGTCCAGAGGTTCACTATCCCCTCCTGTGTCCTACAGAAAGAGAAATTAGAAACATGGACTTGACAAAAAGTATCTTCTATTTACGAGGCTGAAATTATATTATTAATTATAGTATTAAATACAGCAAATGAAACACTCATCGTTATTTTGCATGTAGTGGTAGTCAGACCACGTGAGGAATCGCTGAAACTAGAAAATCCTATTCTTAAGATAAAAATAATGCAGATCCAAGAGGTTTTCTCACCTACATTACTTTGTTCTCAGTCTAAAAGCTGCTAAACCAGTCACATCCGAAACTCATTAACCTCCTGTCATACATTTTAAGAACAGATCTCCATCTAGTGGCTGCATTCTGAATAACTAAAAATGTTTCCTAAACGTTTTACACTTAAGATGGAAATCAAGTTCAGCAAAAACTGAGTTCAGTATCAAAGACTGACAATGATACAACTGATGAATCAACATGGAATGAAGCTGACATACATTTTATTTACCAGTATAAAACCACGTGAACTATCTGAAGAAGACAAGCATTGTTACTAATTAGTGTTATTTGTGAAGTTTTGGGTTCTATTTAGACATCAATGGTCAAAAAATAACCACAATCACAACTGGCTCTATGAGACTTTGAAACTAAAGTGGTCTTTGTCCCCCCATCATTTTTCACGTGATGAGATACTACAAAGTTTTATTGTGAACTGTTCATATGTACATATTTCATTCTCCAGAAACAGGAGCCCATTACATCTCACATACAGGTATCTAATACCTAAAACCATGACAAAAACAGTATGAGCAAAATGTTTTTTCCCTTTGCACCAGACAGAAAAGAGCAGAGGGGGAAAAAAAACAGCTATAGAGAACATCTCCTGAGATGCTTCAACAGCACAGGCAAAAATTGCTACTGGCACAGCTCAAACAGGAGCCTACCTGAATTCAACCCACATATCCAAAAAGCAAAGAATAAGATAACCAGCAACTCTTACTGTTTGAATTTCTTCTCCAATTTTTATTGGCTGACACTGTTCTTTGGCCATGAAAACCAAGAGCTTCCGTATCAGTTGGGCATCTTTCATCACAGCCTGCAAGTTCACAGTCTGCCCATTTGTGAACAGGCGATCTCCAATACGATTTACGGGACGATACCTACAGCAAATCAAAATTATTTTAAAAGATTAAAGCCACTGAAAAGAAGCATGATAAACCTCAAATAGTCTAAGTCTTCAGGGCATGAAAAATAATCCAAACAAACTAACAGTGGGCATTTAAAAATCCGTATTATATTCTACTGGGACAGTCATAAAAGAGGAATGACCCTTAACAAGAAATTCTATCAGTACTGTGCAGCTCTAGTATTACATAACAACTTAAAATACTAATATATATATTTTCCATAATGACCATTTCATTTTCATATCAAACTCACTTGAAGATACAGCAGAACTTATCATCAATTCATGCGATTTTCATTATTTAAACACTCTACTCACACTTAAGCAGACCAGTTTCTGTACTATGGGAGTTTGGAGCTCCATCTCCTGCAAAGATGACTAAACCCTTTGATTTCTACCAAATTTTGGGGAGATTAATTTTACCTCGATGGTGGAACCACAAGTAGATCTAAAAAAAACAAGTCTGGACTGAATCCTGAATTCTCATGGGGATCCATCCCAGGGAAGAGATAACGCAAAAAGAAACCTAAAGAGATACAATAGAAATATAAAGTCACTCTCACTGCTCTCATTTGGGAATCCAAATCCCCAGATGCATTTGGTCAACCAAGTCAAAAGAATCTGCTAAGTTAAACACTATTGAGCTTGTTTAAATTAAAAGCATTTTAGACATAATTTAGTAAGAACTGCCACTCTCTTTCTGGTCACATACATGGTATTTTAGAAACAACTCTGGACAAAAATATAAATTGTACAAAAAGGAAAAAGTAAAACAAGAGGAAGAAAATTTCCAGCTACTAACTGTGATTCACAAAACTGCTTTGGTTTCTCCTGGCAACTGCAGACATTCTGCAGAGTACAGGGAAGTCAAAAAAAGAGGCTGATAAATCCATTCTCAGACTTTATCTAGAGTAACTGTGGGGTGCAGCACCACAGGAAAATCACACTCTCTGCAAACAACAGTTGTGATTTGTGGGGAGCCACAATTTGAGAAGAACTCAAATTGATTAAAGTATTAACTGAATGCAGCTCTCTCCACTCTCTGGCTCCCAGTCCTCCTGTCACAAAACCCACCTTGCAGCCAGGAGCCCCTAAGGCAAAAGGCAAAAATTTAACATGGAGTTCAAATTGGAATATTTGCTGACTTTGTCCACTAAAAGGAACAGAAAAAGAAGTAATGTTGCTCATCACAACCATTACCTTCATTCTTCCACAGAGCCAGGATGTATTCCTTAGCAGTCATCGGTGTCAGGTATCCTCTCTTCCCTAATTGGCTTTCATCAATACCTGAAAAGTAAATAATAAAATAAAAATATTTATTTAAAAAAATCTCAAGAGATTACTCTGAAAGAGTTTTTTTTTTGCTTACAGTAGTAAGTGCTTCCAGCTCAGAGAAGGAATGGAAATACACACAAAGCATACTGGCTGACATCTACATCAAAACTATCATTTAAGTATTTGCTATGGGAATATAAAATTAACTAGAAAGAAACCATCTCTGTGACTAGTGAATATGAATATAGGTAACACAAATAAGACTCTACTGTAACATCTAAAATTTATGCTTTATTTGACTTATAGTGGGCTGGAACCTTTCTTCAAATGACCTCAGCCCCTGACCAAAACACAAACCAAGAGTCAGCCTGCAGCTGGGGAACATTTCAGTGCACTCAGGTGCTACCAGAGAGATATCAAGGTTCCCATGAAATACTCAGCTGGAGGAGACAACAGCATCAGCCAGCAATCCATCCATATTATAAGTTAGAGTCTGGGCCACCTCTACTTTAGAGTGGAAACACATGAAAACACATGTTTTTGCTACTGAAAAGCAAAAGGATCACTTCTTTGAAAAACAAAGTCAGATCTCAAGTTTAGATCTCAATTTCCACTTCTCTTGCAGGCCAGCCCCTTGAGTCCTAGAGTACACAACTCAATGAAAAATACTTCTCTCATGACCTCAGATAGCTTCCTATTCTTTTGGCTAAGGCCCAGAAATGCAGATTTTTGAGCATGAAACTTCAATTCTCCAATCACCTAGAAGAACTTTCCACCCCTTAAACAGAAATGCATCAATGCCAGGGTTAAAGGTACTCTCTTCTGACATTTAACCATGCACAGGCCATGCTGAATGTATGTAACTGTGTGACCCATCCCATTTCAGAACACAGAATACTTCCCATTTTGATGCTTCAGCCAAAACTCCAGAGATTTAATCTAGTATTTACATCACAGAGTAGAAAACAAAAAAAACTCTCTACAGAAACTTCTCCTAAGGGTTAAAAAAATATACAAATTTGCTTCAGTTCTGTCTCTTTATGCAAAGGATCAAGGATACAAGATTTAAAATAAGGTTTAAATTGATTGAAACAATAGGTTAATTAAGTCCGGAAAGTGTCACCTACTTTCTTTTCCTCTTTAAGGAGTAATTCTTTCATAAGAATAGGATTATCTGATTTTCTTCCTGAACTTGGTCATCTTTCTCCTAATTAATCTTATATCTAGTTGCTCTGTTTAAAAAATCCAGCAGAAAACCTGCCAAAAATGAAGTACCCCTAAGCCACCCTGAAGTTGATATAGATTATGTTTTTGTACTTCTTTTCCTGACACACAGACATTTGAAGCTGCACAAGCACAGCAGGCTCTCAAATAGAATTTTAATGGAATTGGATTCTCTCTGACTCCTCAGCTTAGTGGTTTAGTTAAAACAAGGATTTTTTATAAATGAGTCCCAAGTGCACAGTCACTGCCAGGAATCTGTGCCCCTTAAATGCAGGAAAAAAGTACTCATCTATTTGAGTAAAAGACAAATATTTTACCTCCTAATTCATCCAGAATGCCTTTCTCTCCTGACTTATTGTACACTGTAGAAGGATAAGTTACTGTCAGTTTGCTGTTGTGCTCCTTTCGTACCAGTGATCTCCTGGATCTTAAATGAAAAAAAGAAGAAAGGCAGATAAAAGTTAATAGAAATTCACTATTTCATTCCAAACCAGCTATTTACTTCCTCATGTGGTTAAACTTACTTGCAGTTTGGGCATTTCTTTGAAGACATGTGTGCTTTCCAGAACTGTGTTATCAGTTTATTTCTACACTCACACACATTTTTGACCTGATGAAGAAAAAAACCAGAAAGACTTAAGAAAATAAGAAAAATAAATTCAAACATCTTATATGAAGAATTCACTAATCATTATACAGTTAACAGTAACTATCAACACGAATATTATTAATGTCAATGCACACATCCTTATACTGATTAATTCTTGCCTTGATCTGTAGAGTTCTTTCATCATCTTCCCATATTGGCTGCAGAAATACAGCCCCTCTGTACTCTCCAGCCTCCTTTTTCAATTTATTTCATAAAGTCTTTATTTTTCAAGGCAATACTGGAATTTAAAGCTCTTCTCTAATGAAAACTTAAGAAGGTATAAGAACAACAAAAATCACTTCTTTTGACTGCTCATGAATGTATGATTTACGAAGTGCTTAAGCTCAGTTTTTAAACAAGTGATCAAGGAACTAAAAGTGGCTTATAAACAAATCTGCTCAATGATCTTTGATTTTTAAATATCTTCACTCATATTTACCTTTACTAATCACGTACATTAAATTGCGTTTAAATGGAAATTAGAATTCAGTTAGGAAAGTCTTTTTAAAAACTTCACTGAAATCAATTCAGCAAGTTTGCAGAATGCAAAATGTGTTCTGTACAGCCAGAGCATCACACAGAGAAGAATCAACATCTGCAGGTACTGACAGCAGTATCAAACTTTCATATGATATTTACATTATCAAAACATTTCACTACACAGACACTATTTTCCAGAAACTCAACAATGATACTAATGGGAAATAAAATACTGTTTAAGTTTAGTTTTAGACATTTCACTCAAAAAACCTTCTAAACATAACAAAGTTCATAACTCCAGGACAAAATCCAGCACCTACACAGTCCAAGTCAGGCTCTGTTCAGCACATTGCTATTTTAGGAGGATAAAGCCCAAGATATCTGGAGGGACACTGACTGTACTCACATTTGAACATCGATCTCTCAGCTGAGAGCTTTGTAACATTTCCTGAACATGGCGATCTAACTCTTCTTCAATTTCTGAACCTGTTGCATCTGCACATTGTTCTAAAAACTAAAAGGAACAGAAGAAAATAAATTAGCACAGTTTTATAGTTATGAGACTATGAACTCCAAAAGGGATGGAGCAATACACACTACTTGCCTTGTTCAGAATGATTTCAAGGTCATGGACAGCATGAAGCAACCCCTTCTCCAGCACCTTCAGCTGACTTAGCAGCAGGTGAACCACAGCTCGAGGACATGTCAGCATGTGACAATTCAAACAAGAACCACGGATGAGAAGGTATAATTTCTGCAGAGAAAAGGGAGAAAAAATATTATCCTGGCAGGTTTACTATTTTACACAGGAAGCAAGTAAATACAATAGTTTGATCTTCAAGAAAGTGCTACTACAATTGAGAAATTAGACTAATGGTTAATTTTTACCATAAAGAATCTTGACCAAAAAAATAATCGTAACAGATACGTGAAACACCAGTGGTATTACAGCAGCTCTGGGGCTAAGGCTGTTCTTACACAACTCCTAACAGSTCAYCYRTGCAGGACAATGTCATACCCAAGCCTCCACACCAGCAAAATGAAACATTCTKGTCTCAGTCCTTCAAGATCCTTCATACAATCACATTTTCCTCAAGGTCTGGGAAATTATCAGTGGGTTTTGTTATTTAACACAGCTCTGCATACAATTCACTCCAGCTGCACAGAGCCCCTGCACAGAGCTTCCCTGAAGGCTGGGAATTACTGCTGCAGCATTTTAATCCTTGGTCCATATGAGTGTATGACTTAAAGAGCTGGAACAAGGCCAGAATTGGATGCCTCATCTAACTTCAGTCACTTGAAAGTGAAGTTTTCACTCTCAACTAACAGMCTGTGCAAAAGGCCTCTACTCTAAATGGTTAAGAAATTCATCCCAGCTCATGTTTCTTATAAACTGGAAGAGTAGACAGCTGCTCCTGTGCAGTAGTTGTTTAAAGAAAATGTTAATTTTTACTGTGCTTTCCATTTAATTAAGCATGACATCCTACAGTKAGTCACATGCTTCATGATGAATATTCCCCTTTCACCTGTCAATATTAAGTAAAATAATGTTTACAAAAAAGCATTTATTTTTSAAAAGGTCTATTTATATTGAACTATCATGACACAACAAACCTTTTCTACTACGTTTGCTGTTATTATACTTAAAAGAGAAAACAGATCTTGGCAMCTTTACTGTTTTCAAGGACCACAATGACAGCTCGGGCACCCTCACCCATTTCACCAGCAATAATTAAATGTACATACATCAAAGAACAGAGGGTTGTAGACAGTCAAAGGCAATTCTATATGGCCAAAGTGTCCAGGGCAGTTGCTGAAGTTCTGCATGCAAGTGGCACACACTTCTTTRGAGTCCGGAGGTCCCAAGGCCAAGTCGTACAGTCCATTTACAGCCGGATTCCCCACGTTATCCAGGTACTGGGGGTTTGTTATGGGTTTTACACTCAGTTTCCTGAGGTTGAAAGGAAAGAGRAAAAATCATAGGCAGGAAACAGCAACATGACACACTTAGAAGTATTTTTCTGAGAGTATTTTGTGGATGTAGTGGGAACTTGTGTTATCACTGATTTCACGGTCTGAGCACAATCATTCATACCRCAGCAAAAATTTCTTTTACAGTTTTAGCCATTCCACTAAGAAGTCACGTAATTTTGTCTGTGGGTCCCTTCGAGCGGTGGCAAAGCTTGGACAAAACTCGGCTGCCGCCATCCCCGAGGTCGGTGAGGGCCACGGCACAGCCGGACCACATCTCCCAGCATGCCTCGCGCCACAGCCCCCCGCAGCCCGCCGGCGCCCTGCCGCGGGGCACGCTGGGATTTGTAGTGTCCAGCAGCACCCGCACAGCCCGGGACGCACACACRTGGAGCCTTACCTGATCTCCTCGGCCGTGTACATCCCGAAGGACACCCCAACCAGCCGCCGCCATGGCACCACTTTGGGCGGCCTCATGGCGAACGAGCGGCTCTTTCCCGGCCGACAGCCGGGCCCGCTCTGCCGCTGGAAGCGCCGCGCCACGGGCAGCACCACGCGGTTGGCGCGGCGGGGGAGGCGGGGCCGGGCGGTACCACCGCTATAAAGGGGCGGTACCGGCCCCCCCCACCGCCGGGGGAGTGGTGCCGCCCCTGCTCCCAGAGTGCACCGCGCGGGGCAGGCATGGCGGCGCGGCGAGTCGGGGGTGGCTGCTGGCAGCGGGCGCTGTGGTGGGGTCGGCGGTGCCGCCTCCCGAGCGGGCGGGAGAGCTACCGGTGAGGGTCCGCCGGGAGGGAAGGGCCGGGTGGCGGCGGCGGCACCGGAGAGGAATCGGAATCGGCGGGTGGGCAGTGCGGGGTGTGCGGGGCGTGAGGCGGGAAAGGCCGCGCAGGCGCAGTGTGGGCGCTCAGAGTGCGCATGTGCGGTGGCTCCTGGGGCTGGCGTGGTCAAGGTGGCGTGGGGAGTTCTTTTCTTCGGACTATTCCCTGCCTTTGAACGCCTTTCCTGGGGGTCTTTTCTGCTTTTGGACGGCTCGGAGCCTCCCGGAAGAGAGTTTGAGCTGTTAAACGATTTGTAGAGCTGAGTTTTAGGAAAAAAATAGATGAGCACTTCCCCTAAGAAGGCAGCTTTCTCCTGCCTTTCAGCCTGGAGAAGGGAGTGTTGTGTGGGGATTCCATAGCAGTCTTCCAATACGTGAAGGAGTCTTATCAGGAAGCCAGAGAGGAGCTTTCGTCAGGAGTTGTAGTGCTAGAACAAGATATAGTGAGTAAAGATGGAAAAATGGAGTTTAGGTTAGATAGGAGAGAGAAGTTCTTTACYGTGAGGGTGGTGAGACACTGGCTCAGGTTGCCCATAGAACTTGTGGATGCTCCTCCCCTGGAGGTGTTCAAGGCCAGATTGGATGGGGTTTGGAGCAACCTGGTCTACTGGAAAGTGTCCCTGCCCAAAGCAGTGGGGTTGGAGCAAGAKCTGTAAGATCTCTCTCAACCCCTTAACATTCTGTCGTTGTATGAAATTAGGTTTTGTTCAGGGAATGGCTCAAATGAAAAGATCCCATTTCACTGGGTACTCATAATTCATATTTGGGATGGCAGATTCATAGTTAACAACTTCATGGGGCTTCCAAGAGCTCTAGAATTGTGCAATGCCGCGGTAAAGCAGAGAGCTGTGCTTGCMCCTTAACAGCCTCTCCCTTGGGGCCAAGGTCAGTGTGGAGGCACTGAAGGCCAGAGTTGCARTTTAGTGTTACTTCATGAGCAAAAAGAGTAGAAGTATTTTAATGTAATTCTTAGTTTGTGTTAAAAGCAGTAAAATGTGAACTGTGGTGAGAGACTTGAAGCAGTGTCCTGTAACTGAGCACAAAGCAGCTCGTTTGCAATACAGAGCAGCAGAATAAGTTTGTGTGTCTATGACTGCTGCAGCTGTGCTTTTGTGCACAAATTTCTGCAGATCTGTAGGGATTTGGCATTTGGAACTCATCAGGGCTGACTCACCTGCATCACAACTTCAGGTTTAGGTGCTGTTTTCAGTATGATTCTGCCTTTAAGACATAAGGTGTCTGTTCTGATTTATGTGCATGGTTTTCTTTCAGAGATGCACTGATTCATGAAAACTACTTTTAAAACATCATACCCCAGCATTAAATAATCACCATTTTTTTTTGTAGTGTAATTTTTCGCATGTAACTTTTTGTCTCTTGAAATTAGGGCCTTAAACATCAAATGTAAGTTTTATGGTAATAATGTGGAGTTAGTAGCTGTGCAACATTGCTTGTTACTCTAATGCACTCCTGTTYCCTCTAATGTTTTAGTTAATTCTGGCCTGTAGTACAGAATTTCTGTAATCTGCTTTTGCTATATTTATGTGATCACCATAAATTCAAACCTCTGATTGYTTTCTAGGTGCTCTTCGGGTAGTACTGCTCTTGGAAAGACARTGGACAATTCAGAAGGTAAGATGTCTTCATTACTGGTTTCTTGCATGTTTCYCAGTCTCTAAACAGCACAGTGTGTCAGGAGATAAATATGGTGTAAACACCCTCTTTCTTCTTCTTGGATTTTTTTTTTCCCTGTCTTCATTGTGCAGAAATTTCCTGGATTAACTTGATTCCTTACCTCATCACCAGTCCTGTGCTCCATGAGCCTATATTAGATTGTAGTTTTAAAATCCTTGCTTTAGTACTTTCAGATGGATCAGCTTGAATGTTTAATTTTCATAGAATCATGGAATTGCTTGGATAGGAAAAGACCCAGGAAGGATAGGAAGTCCAGCTGTTAATTCTGGCCAAAGCACCTCTAAACCACGTCCCTGAGTGCCACACATGCCTTAAATCCCTCCAGGGATGGTGGCTCCACCACTTCCCTGGTCAGCCCATTCCTGTGCTTGACAAGCCTTTCAGTGAAGATATTTTTCCTAATATCCATTTAAACTTCATCTGGTGCAGCCTGAGGCCATTTGCTCTTTTTCCATAATTTGTAACTTAGGAGAAGAGATTGACCCCCACCTTGCTATAGCCATGAGATCAAGATTTTCTTTGGGCATATCTTTGTTTCTAATCATTATTTTAATACTGTTTCTCATAGTAACTCAAGAAGAAATTGTGCTCCCCCGAAAGAAAACATGGTGAGTGCTTACTTCTGTAATCTTGATTGGGAAGAAAATCAGTGTTAGCTAAATGTAGTCTGTCCATGAAATCTGAAAAAGAAAGTTGAGGTTCCTCTATTCCTTGATGGCATGTCCCACTAGTGGTTTTCCTGCTGATTTGGGGCTCTGTGAATATTCTTGACTYTTACTCTCTGTGCAGACTATGTACACTGCATTCCTGGCATTTCTTTTAAAAACATTTACAGCAATTGCATTTTTGAGCATGGTTCTAGTTTTTTGTAAAAGATCACTTTTGCTAAAGAGCTGTAAAATCAAGTTTATTTGGCTGTTCGCACATGAATGTTTCTTCTAGCAAAATAAAACTTGGTTATTGATAGCTGGCTGAATAAATCCTGCTTAGAAATAACACAGCTGAACAAAACCTATCTTGTTGGAAACACTTAAGGTGGAATTGCATGACTTTACAGCCAAAACTACRTTCATGGCCAAATGGTGTCTGCATGTAAACTGAAAATAAGGCCATCTTCACCTAAACACTTTCACTGGCCTTTCCTTGTTTGCTGGAAACAGCAAAGACTTAAGGATCCGCAGCCACAGGAGTCCTGAGGAACCTGTGTTTAGTTTAGTCTGGTTTATTTTTTTCCTGCAAAGACATGTCTTGGAGAGGGGCTTCATGTATTTATCCCTAAAAGATGCTCTTGGAGCAGCATTCCAAGGAATTTTTTGTGTCTCTTCCTTTTGATCTTTCTTTGGTAAGGTATTGTAAGAGCAGAAGTATTATCAGGAAATACAGATGCTCTTCTGATTTTCCACAAAATCTCTTTTTTCCTGGTCTTTTTTAAGAATTGAGACCATTCTAACATTCCATACATTCTACTTATTTTATAAGTGCAGCAAAACAATTACTTCCTAGAAGTGAAAATCCTTATGGATCAGGGTAAGCCTGTCCTTGTTCTCCAAACAGTGTAATGCACAGCATTCAAACTGAGTTTTAGTCAAATTCCTTTGTGTTTAGGGATAAGCTCGCGGTGCTCAAGACCTTGGCTTCTACTGTGAACAGGGTGAGTGGTTCTGTGGGTCATGGAAATGGGTCAGGTTGTCCATTTTGTGCAATAGTCTTGTGCTCAGGAGGCTCTTRATTTCTACTTTGGCCATAAATGAAAGATGGGATTTTCACATCAGGCTTTTCACTTTTGCTCAAGGTGTTTTGGTTTGTTGTTAAAGCCTCATTCTTGTGCTAAGGGTGAGCTGCAGTGAAAATTGCAATACCTTGGTAAGGATTTTGCTACATAAGGACCAAGTCTCTTTAGCAGTTCAGCTTCCCAATCTAGAATGCCCTTCCCAGTCTCAGTCCAGAAAGGCTTTACAAAGTGCAATGAGTGTCTGCTCTTGCTGGGCTAAACCTGGAAATGCTGGGATGCTGTTCTTTAATCCTGTCTATCTTGAATTCTGGAAATTAAATCAAAACCTGCAAGTCCCATCAGCTTCCTAAGACTAGTACACTTGAGGTCCCACTTGTTTTGCAAGGGACTTAATGCTTGCCATATTACAGGAAGGATCCTTTTTTTTTGTCACCATGTTAGCCTGCATGTGTGTGTGTAAAATGAAAATGTTTTTAAAACTTTTTTTAAACAGGCTCAACCTTGTTGAACAAAAGGAACTTCTGTAAAATGTGCATAGGTGGTGATTATGATGGAAGAATTCATTGTGCCTTAAATTCCATGAGACAGTGTGTTGTGCCTGTGTACATGACTGAAAAACTTTCAATCCTGGAYTCTTCTTTCTACAGGATCCTACTGCTGCTCATTACATGTTCCAGGATGACCCTTTCCTTATGCCAAGAAATGCAGCTAATTCTGTAGGTATTTCAGATCCTTGATAGCTTACTCCCTGCCCTTGTCTAGGTTATGAATACTCTTACCTAATTGAAGCCTGGTTTTGATTACTAAAGATGAAATATCAGATTGCTTTCAGAATTTTCTCTCTAAAATGAGGGATGTTGTTGAGCTTGATGTAGTAGGGCAGCATTTCAGATATCTGAATGTGTCCCTTGACTAAGTAATAAGGAAGTAGAATACAATGGCATTTTAAGAATATATTTTTATACTGGCAGGAGCACCAGGATGTTTACCTGGAATGTTGTCTTGTGCCTGTGATTTTACTAAGTGGAAGTGAAGCATGAGTTTTATTTCATCAGGATGTTCAGAGTTAATGAAAATCTTTTTCCTCACTCTCAGCCTTGTAATTTGTGTACTTCTTTGTCTTGTTCTCTCTCATCTCTATGCAGCGTCTCTATTCATTGTCGAAGGAGTCTGGGAGAAACGCTGCAAAATACATTATAAAGAACTTTCCTCAGTATTTTGACAAGACTTTTGCAGAGCCCAATGTACCAGTAAGCTTTTGKTTTTTGTTGTTATTTGTGCTTTGTCAATGAAATCAGCTGTTGGACTGGTCCAAAACTAAGATAAAAGGATCTTT